GTCCTCTGGCAGTTCCCTGGTGCTCAAGGATCTTTGAAAGATATAGTTCAGTAGTTCTGAGATCTCATCTGCTAGTTCCTTCAGAACCCTGGGGTGTAATCCATCTGGTTCTGGTGATTTGAACTCATCTAGGATAGACAGGTGTTCACTTACTATTTTCTTCCTTATTTTAACTTGTGTTCCTAATCTGTTTTTTGTGGTGCTGTTTTTGATAGGTTGGACTGTTTTTCCCCTTTGTGTAAAGACCTTCTTGCCACTTTCTCCCAGCAATGGACCAATTGTTTCCTTGACTTTTTTTCTTGTTTCTAACATATTGGAAGCTTTTTTTTTTGTTACTTTTTACTTTTGTCACAAGCCTTTGTTCGTTATGAGCCTTAGCTTTTCTCACTTCATCTTTGCAGGCTCAGGCTTTTTGCTGATATTCTGCCTTAGTTATGTGCCCCTCTTTCCACTTTTTATACTTGTCCTTTTTGTCTTTCAATTTGTCAGAATTCTTTATGCAGTGATGTTGGTTTCTTTTGAGAGCTGGTATTTTTCTTCTTCATTAGTATTGTGCTAGACTGGGCTTTTATAATCTCACTTTTCAAAATTTCCCAAGCTTCTTGAGTTGTTTTCCCCTTGAGGATTCTCATCCATGGAACCTTCCCAAGCTCTAAGTTTATTGAAATTAGCTCTCTTAAAGTCCAAGACTCTAGTTTGACTTTGTTCTACTACTTGTGCTTGGATAATGTTGAATTCCAATATTGCATGATCACTTGCCCCCAAGGTTCCTGTAGCTTCAACAACTTCTATCATTTCATCTTTGTTAGTGAGAATTAAGTCCAATATGGCTGATCCCCTTGTTCCCTTCTCTACTTTTTGGAAAACAAAGTTGTCTGCTAGGTTTGTCTTCCACTTGGTGCAAAGTTTGTCTCCCAGTTGATGTCAGAGTAGTTAAAATCCCCCATTACTATTGTGATGTGCTTCCTACATATCTTAGTTAGCTAGCTAGCAAAAAGTTCATCTATTTCCTCTGTTTGGTTGGGTGGCCTATAGTATAGACCTATGGCAATGTCATTTTCCCCCCTTTAATATTGACCCAAATGAATTCAAGATAATTTTCATCATTGTTGTGCTCATTTCTGTTGAGATGTAGTTATTTCTTACATATAGTGCAACTCCACCTCCTCTTTTATTTGGTCTATTTCTTTTAAATAATTTAAATTCTTCTAGCTGTAAATTTCATTAGTGGGTTTCATCCCACCAAGTTTCCATAATAGCAACAGTATCATATCCGCCCTCATTTACTTGAATTTCTAATTCACCCTGTTTATTCCTCATACTGTGCATTGGTGTATAGGCATTTGAGTCCATTTTGACTGACCCTGTGTTTATTGTCTACATAACCTGTGTTGTGCCTGACTGCCCCTACTTTCTTGCCACCTGTTTGATTAGTGCACATGGTATGGCACTCACTATTAAATGCTTGGTTTTGCTTGGCAGCAAGGTTGATAATCTTACCCGCACAAATATCTGTTACATGCACTGATAACCCTATTAATTTTAGATTGCTGGGGACAGAAATGTTCTGTATCAATTAATTCTGTCCCCGCTATTCAGTTTAAATGCTTATCCAGAAAATCTGTGAATTTAATGCCAAGTAACTCAATCCCTTTCTTTGATGGATGCAAACCATTTCTTTTGTACAGTTTTTCATTGGACCAGCTGCAGACATCATGACTTATAAAACCAAAGCCTTCCCTTTTACACCATTAAACTCCATTAGCCACACATTAAACTCTGCTGATGCCAACAGACTCCCTGGCAGCCATGGAGTTAAATGGGAGGAGGGATAGCTTCCACTTTTCTGCCTACCTTGAACCTCTGGAGATCCACAGTCGTTTGGGCTCCTACGGACTTTGGCTGCTAGCTGCTCTTTCTTCATTTTCACTTTTTCCTTCTACAGGCACAAGTAGACATTGGGGAATGGAAGACAACAGATAAAAAATTGCAAGTACAGTTGGTTGAACATTTCAGACAGTTTCTCAACAAGTACAGTATTTTAGTACTGCTCCATCTAGGGCTTCAGATGAAAATCCTGAGGGAAAGAGCCTCAAAGTTATTTGCTTACTGTGGAAGAAAATGGGAATTTTGCTGTCATAGAACCCATAAAATCACGTAGGGATGGTTCACACTTAATCACATCTGTTGCAACTGAGATTTGTAAAGCATGCTAAGATTCTTTTCATTCAAAAACATTTTTTTACAACTGTTTTGACTTGGTATTATTGTACTAACCAAGTTTATGATTAAGAAGAATTATACAAATTCAGAAATGGGTTAATTTGGTCACCTGATTAAGTATGTTCTGCAAACACAGTCATGAAGGACAATAAAGGTTCACAAACATCATGGCTGTTGGTATACTGTACAGGCAGTCCTTAGGTTATAACAGCAATTGGGACCAGGAATTCTGTTGCTAAGCAATGCAGTTGTAAAGCATGTCATGTAATCACATCATTTAACAATAGCAGTTCCAGTAGTCTTGGCTGTTATCATGACGACTGCAATTATAGATTGTTGATTGTAAATTAAATGGACCTACAGTATGTAAAATCTGGCATGTAGTATTAACATAGGATATTGCTTGTTTTCTATCCAGATCAGGCACTTACTTGAGGCCATAATTGTAATCCAGTCCTCCTGCAGGACTCTGCTGGCCAAAAATGGGCCGCGCAGAGGCCCTGTGCAGTCCCCTGTGTGGCCTGTTGTCAGCCAGCAGAGTGGCTGAGGCAGGAGGCCAAAACGGGATGCTGAGAGGCCGCACATCCCTCCCCTCATTTTGGCCAGCAGAGGCACCACGGGCCGGTACTTTGATATTTCCTGGCCAGCCCTGCGGGCCAGATTTAAGCACCCCGTGGGCCGCATTTGGCCCGCATCCCTTGAGTTTGACATCCTTGCTCTAAAACAATAAAACAGAGTTCTGGTAGCTCCTGTGATGTTTGTTCCCTGACTTAAAGTGATCTGAAGGGTTATTTGGTAATAGTATTTGCTCCTAAATCCCAAACTTTCTATAAAAGGAAAACAAAAAACTAACCTGGCTTGCCATTTCCAGAGACAGCATTCTTCTGACAACATCATCCACCCTGCAGGAAAGCACAGAGTCTCCCTGGATTTATTTTTATTTTTTAATCTCCTGAGGGGTTTAGCATTTGCCATTGGTCTCAAATGGTTTTAGGATATAGCAAAGGAAATTAAAAGTAATGCTGAAGGGACCATTTTTTCCAGAGAATATTAACAGAGCATACATGAAGGGTGGATATTTTGTGAGATTGTATCTTGGGAGCTTTTTTTCTTCCAACTGTAAAATAAGGTAGGTGACAGAATTATCACTGAAAGGAAGTAGAAACCCCCACACACCCATTTCCCACCAATCCCTGCAAATCTTACTTGTCTACAGTTGAGACATTGGCATAATCTTTCCTCAACATTGTATCAGGCAGATCATCCAGATGGCTGGGGATAGCTGAAAAGAAAGAAAGAATTGCTCTCTTGCTATACATTTTTGTTCAGCAATTATTTTTTCAACAATGGCCAATATTTGTACTAGATATCTGTAGATGCTCCCAAAATGGAATTTTAAGATTTTCAAGGTCCTTCTCAATTCCCTGGTGGTAAGGAGAAAGAAGGAAGTGGAAGAAAATTCCTACTGTGTAAGATTAGTTGCTCAGAAATCAGAAGTAAATCCAACTCTCCAATTTTTTGAGCTAATATGTCTATTGATATGAAAAGGAAGGGAGGTACCACAGTTTACTCCTATCACCTTTTGTTTTCCCATTTCAATGGATCAGGGTTTGGGATTACGGACAAATGTTCAAATCCACAAAAAAAGCATCCTCAGCAACCTGATTCCAAACCAACCATTGCTTATTTAATTTATGGTCTGCCTTTCCACCCAAAAGGCACACAGGACCAAGCTGAAAAATTTATAATACATACCTTCTTTTTTTTTCCGGACAGGCCTGGCATATTCTCTGACTATTTGGAGAAACGGGCTCTTCCCTGAAAAGACAAAAAATGCAAAACCAATTCAGAACAACACACTGGGCAACCATCTTCTTGCCGGAAGTCATGTGGTGACAAAAATAACTTGACTGCCCCTTGATGTCAGGGGACATTAAGCAGCCTGTCCGTCTAGACAAGCAAGCATTTTGTTCCCGGTTTTGAAGAACCGGCTGGTTTTTTCCTTGCCTGCCCTTCAAGAACACGGAGAGGAAGTAAAAAGGCTCACAAGCCAAGCGACTGCTTGTTTTTAACCTCAGGGCGGTGTTTTCGAGACATCTTTACGCATGATCGTAGTTTATTCAACAAAAGCGCTGGGTTCCCGGACACGCAAAACTGAAACAGGGCAGGGGAATTTGTACCGTGTTATTCGGTTCCTGCCCTCTTTTAACCCAGCCTACAGAGAGGCGCCCAGGGATGAGAACCCCAATGCAAAGACTTTTTCCTCCCGCCCTCTGCGAATCAGGTCCGGGCGACCCCACAAATCTCCCTCCGGCCCAGCCAGGCCGCGATCCTCCCCGCCAGAAACGGGGCCGATCGAGAAGCTCCAGGCGGGCAGCTCCATCGTAGCCAAGGCCGAATGGACCCCCTCCATCCCCGCATCCTGCACTCGTGCAGACACAGCAACATGGATGCTGTAGTCCGACAGCTGAGGGGGAAGCGGTGTAGAGCGCGGGCAGAGCAGGGCAGAGAGAGGGGGGTGCTGCCCCCCCCCACGTCGGCTCGACGTCTGGCCGCCCGCTAACCCTTCCTCACCCGGTCCCTGACGCGCCTCCTTCGCCGGCCCCGCGACGAGCTTAGGGCGGCTTCCCCCGGCGAGCGCAGAGGCGCCCCGCAGCACCAGCCGCAGCATCCCCGGCGGTCAAGGGCTGGGCGCCGCCATCTTTCGCGTCAGAAGGGCGCGCCGAGAGGCCCGAGTGCGGCGCGTAGGGAGGGGCCGGCGGGCTCGCGCATGCGCCCTTGCACAGCGGAAGGCGGTGGTAAGATGGCGGGCGTTTAATTCTGCCTCGTAGAGTCGTTTCCGGAGAGTGAGTGAAATGAGTGGGAAGGGTCCTTGTAGGTCATCTAGTCCAATCTCCCGCCCACGCAGGAGACCCTACACCAGAGGTCCTCAAACTTGGCAGCTTTAAGACTTGTGGACTTCAACCCCCAGAATTCTCCAGCCAGCTATGCTATGCTGGAGAATTCTGGGAGTTGAAGTCCACAAGTCTTAAAGCTGCCAAGTTTGAAGACCTCAGGCTTGGGCCTCGGTGTGCATATTTTCCAATGAGACAAACCGAGACAGGAAGATCATTTTATTACAATTGGTCAGCATATTCAGACAAAAGGGATTCCTTATTCAAAGAGGGAATCCCGATCTTTAGCTTACATCCCCTTTTAGTTAGCATAACAAAGAAATCTGAAAGAGGAAAGTTGATTCGACAGGATAATAGCATACATGTTTATTAAAATGAGGTCTGAAGGGAAATAAATTGCAAGGAGAAAGCTCGTTTAGGGTTCACAAAAGAGATAAGCCAGATCCCAATATGTACTAACAAACTGTTCTTATCAGGAGCTAGTCTCTAGCTTTATCAGTTTAGGAATGTTAAAACCTAATAAATCTTGAACATCACTTTAAAAGAAAGAATATAAATCAGATTAAAATACAAAGTAACTATTTTAGTTAACAAATAACAAAACCCATGTTATTTGCCCCCCACCCCCTAGACCAGTCTCTTCTTGAAAACTTCCAATGGTGAATCCAGTTCTACCCTCGCATCGTACATGGCATCATTTAATGATCTATAGGGAAATAATAATAAAGATAGAATATAAAATACTGATATACTAGATTTAGTAAAAGCTTGTTATTCTGTAATCATTAGGTTCCTGTAACATTCTGGTGTTTTAAAGGTATAAAAAGAGGTTACATCTCTGAAGGTGTGAGCCCTCCCATATACATATCTCTGTATGTGTTTGGAATGGTTTTACCCAGCCTTTTGTCTTTGATCAAAGATTAAATGTTGATTCTTATTCAAGCCTCCATTTAAGTCTTTCTTTTTGGTTCACCGAGAGCTTAAGCGTATAGCTGGACCGTACAGATCTGAACTGAGAATCCTATTTTACGTGTGCCTTGTCAGAGAGGCTGAGAGTTAACATATTGTAGACAATCCCAAAAGTGTTGTTTCCTTTTAGTTGGAAAAGTGAGTTGGCATGTGGCTGAGGGGTAGCATTCAGTGGTAGCAGAGGTCAGGTTTCTAAGATGCACTTTTGCAGTTCCCTGGGGAAGGGAAATGACCAGACAAAACATCGTCCTTGACATTTTATGGTTCTTTGCTTAAAAGTCCTTCTGTCCCATTTTATTCAGGGATGCTGAAGAAAATGGAGATTGACAAAGCAGATGACTTGAAGATTCAATCCTTAGTTTTGCATGGAATCCAAAAAAAAGTTCCTGAATCTTGCAAAGATTTATGAAATTAGGCAAAAGAAGGATGAGAGTCCTGGGGATTTTTTCAAAGGATATACCAGGCTTTCAGACAATATACCGATTTAGATCCTGAAGTTCCAGACAATTCGAAAATGATAAGACATGATTTTTATAGGGCAATCAGCAGTAGATATTAGAAGAAAGTTAACAGAAGGTAGGTCTGAGGAAAGCTATTTCAGAGTTGGCTGAGTTAGCTTAACAGAGGGCAGGAAGAAAATAAAGAAAGAAATCCAGAAGGCTCGTTGAAATGCTATCTTCCTAGCAGATGCCTTTAGACAGGAATAGGGAGCAACAATTCAGAAGAGGCAGATGAGAGGGAGTTCAGGGAATCCGAAGTAGGACACCCCACTCCACCTCTAGTAGAGGACGTGGAAGAAGAAAGGTCTTGGGGCCCAATCAGTGTGCTGTATGCAGAAATGAAGGACATAGGAAGAGTGAATGCCTGATGGCTGAATGCCATGTGAGCAGAAGAAAAAAAATTAAGAAAATAAATGTTTAAAGATAAATCAACTAAATGTTGGAAATGTCACAGACACCGGGATTGTATTATCATATGTGGTGGACATGTGCAGAAGCGAGAAACTACTGGGCAAGAATTTGGATATGGTTAGAGAAAATGACCCAGCAACATATTGTTTTAAAACTGGAGCTGTTTTTATTGGGTATTTTATCTGAGAAATATAGTAAAGGACCTGTATATTTGACATGTATATTATTCATGTAATAACAGCAGCAAGAATTGTATTTGCACAAAATTGGAAAGCAGAAAAAATCCCTACAGAGGGTGAGATAATTAAGAAAATATTAGAATGTGCAGAAATGAATAGATTAACATTGGCAATTAAAGGGGAAGAATCGGAGTATTATAACACATGGGAGCAATTTTATCATTAGATAGAAAATGAATATGGACAAAAAGTGGTATAAAATTAAATAAATCTGGAAGAAAAATGTTTTTAACAGGAGGTATATTAAACTGAAATGTAAAAGCAAAGAAATATATATATTAAGAAAATGATGGTAAGCATTAAATATGATACAAAAATTTGTATCCCAATGACACACTGATTGATTAATGATGTAATGTTTGTTTTAAAAGAAAAAATAAAAAACTTTTTATAAAAAAAATACAAAAAGATCTGGATAATTGGGCAAAGTTACAACTATCACTAATTAGAAGAATTGCTACAATCAAAATGAACGTATTACCGAAAATTTTATTCCTCTTCCAAACCTTTCTGATCAAATTAGGAAGGAAATTCTTTCAAGAATTAAACAAAGTAATATTAAAATTTATTTGGTTAGGGAAGAAGTCCTGAATAAAATTAGAATTCCAACAGGACAGTAGAAACAAGGGAGGCATTGGACTCCCGGATTGGGAATTCTACTACCATGCAGCAACCATGACATGGCTAAAAAATTGGATTAATCTAAAAAAACAAAAGTATACTGACTATAGTGGGCCATGACCTGCAACTCGGCTGGCATGCATTCATTTGGGAAGGAAAAAACAAATCACACTCATACTTCCAGAGACATCAAGTAAGGGATGCCCTGCTATACATTTGGGAGAAAATTAAGAAAAACCATTATATTAAAAATTCACTCTGGCTATCGATGGAGGCAATCAGTCTATATGCCAACCATCCTCCTGGTTTATTTGCATTTTCATCTGAGCTTCAACAGAGCTGCGGAACGTGCCAATGCCATGGTAGAGCAGTACATAAAATGCTATGTGGATTACCAACAAGAAAACTGGGCAGATCTGCTGCCTTTTGTGGAAGTGGCTTACAACAATACAGTGCATAGCAGCAACGAACTAACCCCCTTTCAAGTCACTAGCGGCATGGAATTTGTTCCCATGCCCGAGTTGCCGAGAGAGCCGCCCTCCTCCATGACTCTAGCCGAATGGATGGAGTTGCTCAAGAGAGTTTGGGAAAACACCAAGAAAGCACTAGCGGAGGCAGCGGGAGCATATAAGAAACAAGCAGATAAACGGCGATCTCTTCAACCTCCCTTTCGCATGGGAGGTTGCTTTTACCTGTCCACCAAATAAGTTAAATTGAAATTGCCCAGCAGGAAGCTAAGACCTAAGTTCTTAGGACCATTTTCAATAGTGAAAGTAATTAACCCAGTAACAATTCAACTTAACCTCCCATGCCTATTAGGGAAAGTGCATCCAGTTTTCCATAGCTGCTTGCTGAAACCTGCTGTTCAAGACTGAGACCACAGGACTGCCCAGTGCCTAAACCGATGGTAGTGAAAGGGGAAACTCCTTATGAGGTTAAGAAAATTTTGGACTCCAAATTGCATAGGGGTCGTTTGCAATATTTAGTCCATTGGAAAAGATACCCTTTGTCTGGAGCTACCTGGGTTAAGAGCTGGGATGTGAAGGCAGATAGGTTAGTCAGTGAAACAATTCCACAATAAATTCCCTAATAAACCAAAGGGTCCTCGGGGTGGGTGGGTGGGGGGAGGCGGTTAGGGACTGACTGGACTAACCTCCTACATTTATTTCGTTTCAGGACACGTTCACTGGCTGAGGGCAGGCAGCCTGTCAGCCCTGGAGGCCATCTTTTACTTTGGATCTTCAGGACTGCCACACTTGGTGGATGGGCATGCTGTGGGAAACAGGAGTGGGGTGGATGGAGACAGGGTGAGATGTATAGCCATAACAACATTCTTTTCTCTGGGAGTCAAGGACATTCAGCCTGCACCTGGAGAGGGTGATTGGGAAGCAAATCCAGTTGGGATGGGGACATGATTGGACATGTGAGTGCAAGAGAAGGAACTTTGATTTTGATTTGGGTGGGGAAAACCCGGAGGCCTTTTAGATTTGGGTTTTCCCAGATGTGCCAATATGACATCTCTAATAAAATGGAACTTTGAGGAGAATACCTGCTTTGGAGTTTTACTTTGGTTGGGGGTGTTAATTGGAACCCTGACAATAGCTTTGTCTTGCAAGCAGGCTCTTAGTGAATAAGGAACTGCCTTTGAGCCAGCAAGTGTCCTGCTGCAGCCAGGCGTCGAATTGCAAAAAGAGTCATATATGCCTCATTGCCCTTGTCCAGGGAAACTGTCTGTGGAGTCAGTCCAAGGCATAGCGTTGTGTCCAACCTGGAGGGCGGTGTGGCTAGATGCCTGGTGTCCCTGCACAATGATGGGGCATGGGAATGGAAACTGCAGGAAGCCCAACTCTATGCGAAGCTGTGTAAGTGTGAATTCCACAAGTCCCTCTTACACTACCTGGGATACCGGCTCTTGAATGGAGGAATGGAGATGGATCCCAATAAGGTGAAGGCAATACTGGAGTGGGAGCCCCCTCAGACCAGGAGGCAACTACAGAGTTTTCTGGGCTTTGCAAACTTTTAGCGCCAATTCAATCCCACCTTTGCCTAGATAGTCCTACCGATTACCAATTTGCTAAAGACAGGGAAAGGGGCAAAACCAAAACCCAGCCAGCCCCTGGAGTGGTCCCTTAACTGCCAATCACTTTTGAAAAGTTGAAGGGCCTGTTCACTGCAGAGCCGATCCTGAAACACACCAACCCAGAGGAGCCATTTGCGATGCAGGCGGATGCCAGCGATTTAGCAGTGGAGGCAGTCCTACTCCAAAGGAATGCTGAAGGAATTACAACCCTGTGCTTACACGTCTCACAGGTTGTCTGACACTGAAAGATGCTGGGTTATCTGGGAGAAGGTGGCTTACACAGTCCGATGGGCTCTCCCAACATGGAGACAGTTCCTGGAGGGTAGCAAGATCCTCTTCGAGGTCTGGACAGACCATAAATGCTGAAAGTCACATACCCACACCCACCCTGTCTCCTAAGCAGGTCCAGTGGGCCCAGTACTTTAACTGGTTTAACTTCACTCTCCGGTATCTGCCCGGGAGGAAAATCTTCCTTGCAGATTCCCTCTCTCACATGCTGCAGCACAATAGCACCCAAGAGGCAGTGGTGACATCCATCATCCAATCCAAGCAGCGAGCAGCACTTGCTCTCACCTGACAACAAGCAACACCCGGCAGGAGCCAGCACAAGAGTTAGGGCAATCCTTAAAAGATGCCCTAGTAAGAGATTCCAGCAGCACCTGTGAGGGAGGGGCTGGTGTGGAAAGGCACCAAAATATATGTTCCAGTCAGCCAGCGGGCCTGGATTTTACAGAGGAGTCACAATGCCAGGGCAGCAGGACATTTAGGGTTCATAAAGACCCTGTACCAAGTGAAGAGACAGTTCTGGTGGTCAAAAATGAAAAAGGACATAGAAGCTTATATGGCCAGCTGTGTGCCCTACAGTGAAATGAACGCCTGGGAAGCCCCCCTGATTACTGCAGCTGGTAGCTAAGCCGATGGACCCCTGGGAGACCTTCATGGACTTTAGAGCAAGGATAGAGTACGGCATTCACTTTAATGGGGTAGCTGTCAATCCAAGCTATGGCTCTGGAGCGTCCCTCTCCACAGACGCATCGAATTAGAAAAAGGGGCACATATTCATCTTTCCATGGCGGATCCTGAAAACACATGGCTTTATGGCTTCCCCAGCCAGGGCAAAGATGTGCCTCTTTTTCTAATTCAACATCTCTGGAGGTGGACACATGCTGGGTGAAAGGCAGTCCTGCATTCACTGTAAAGAGCCTCCCCGGAAGCCAAACATATGCCTTGCACTGACTCGGACTTCTCAGGTGCTAAATACCAACAGTACATAATTTTATACAAATTCATAATCATTTTTTTTATAACTACAATATAATTCAATGTTAATTTCCAACAGATCATTTTCATAAATATTCTTGTCAAGTTTTATTCTCGTTCTTCTTCCAATGCATCATTAATGAAATTATCAACAGGTTAAGGATGGAGACTTCTGGTTTGATGTCGCGGCGAGAAAATCGGGGAAATAGTGGGCTCTGATGAGCCCCGCGAAAACCCCGGCTGCCAAACCGCCACCAAAGGGTCTTCGGACCAGAACCGTCCTGCAGGGACGGGGAGGAAGAGAGGCACCTCGGACGACCAAGAGGAACAGGCAAGTTCCTCAGAGGTTGGAGGGAACTCTCTGCAGTCGGTGGTGGGGGGCGGCAGCCATGACGGCTGCCACGAAGCTGGGACAAACCGGGCAAGTGATGTGCAGGAGAAAAGGAGAAAAGAGCGATGCCTTTTGAAGCCGGGTGAGTGACAACTAACCCAGGCTCGAAACAACGTGGCTTTTTTTATTTGTAAGACCCCTAGCCTTAAAACAATGGCTGAGGAGCTATGGGGCATAGAAGATTTTAAGATGAAATTTTTAAAAGAAAAGAAAAAGACCCGACTGAAAATTGATATTTGAATAGACTAAATTGGAAAAGTAAACATTGAGACTTGGTTCAAAATTGAACAACTTTAAATTTGAATTGGATTTCTAAAGAAAAGAAGTTAGAGAAGAATTATTATTTTTAAAATACAGAAGGAGTGAATTAAGCTGGAATGTTACATAATTGAAACAAAATGGCGATTTGCATGACTAAAGGAAATTGTGGATTGCAGAGGGACACCTTCTGGTTTAAAGAGAAACATTGTAACTTGCTTCTTGTTTTGGAACATTGTGAACAGATAACCGTGGGATTTTGGAGGTGGAGCTGCTTTTTCTTCGTCTGCAGGCAATTTGACTTTGGTGAGAAAAAAAAAAGGGAAAGTATGATGGAACTTTTATAATTGGACTAATTGGCAGAGGAACAAAAGAAGGAAATTGACGTGATTTGCTTGAAATAGAAGTAAGAAAAAGAACTAAATTGATATATGGAGAATTAAACTGTGAACATTGAAATTGAAATGAAATATATGCTAACAGATAAGGAAATGAGGAATGACATACACATGGCTGGAAAAAAGAAGATAGAAACAATGTGATTAAAAATAAAGTAATGCATAGATGGGCAGTAATAATAAAAAGGAGTTTCTATAGATGAATAAAAATGAATATGAATATGAGAAGAATTTGATATAATATATAAAAATTGAAATAAAGAAGAAAGTTAGAATATAAGAGGAATAGAATATATTAACAGAATTTTATTGATTTACATAAGGATGTGTTTGGAGTAAGAACTAACCTCAATGTTAAATTGTTATAAAGATGATAATGACGTGATTGAACATTAATAAGCAATGTATAGATGAATGGTAAAATTAAAAAAAAGGGTGATTATGCTGGGATAGACAGCAAAACAGAGATGATTATACTGGGTATAACAGTAAAGATAAAAATAATTATGCTGGGATTGACAGTAAAAATGATGATTATACTGGGCGTAACAGTAAAATTTAAGAAGATTATGCTGTGATTAACAGCCAAAAGAGGATGATTTAAGATGAAGATTATATACTGGGATAAACTCTTAGAAATAAAAGATAACCATACTGGAATTAATACTAATAATGAAATGATTGTGTTGTGACTGCGTAAATACTTTGATGATTCATACTTTCAAGATAATATCCATCCATATTAAAAGGAAAAGAAATTGTAATGATATTGAATTAAGGACTTTAAGATTAATGTAATGGGTTTTAAGAATTTTTTCTTTTGTCAAATAGAATTTATGGCAACAATGTTAGAGAATATTAAATTGTGTTATTTGAAAATTAAAATTTGTGGTGAAATAATAGAGGGTAATGCTCTCTACATGGGGCTCCCCTTGGGGTGCACCCGGAGGCTCCAGTTGGTCCATAATGTGGGCGTGCAGGGGATTATGGGAGCGACGGGGCGCTCCCATGTGACACCTCTCCTGCGTGAGCTGCACTGGCTTCCTGTGGTCTTCCGGGTGCGCTTCAAGGTGTTGGTGACCACCTTTAAAGCGCTCCATGGCTTAGGGCCGGGGTATTTACGAGACCGTCTTCTGCCGCCAATAGCCTCCCACCGGCCAGTTCGCTCACACAGAGAAGGACTCCTCAGGGTGCCGTCGGCCAGACAATGTCGGCTGGCGACCCCCAGGGGGAGAGCCTTCTCTGTGGCGGCACCTGCCCTCTGGAACAACCTACCCCCAGAGATACGCACGATACCAGACCTCCGGACTTTTCGGCGGGCCCTGAAAACACATCTATTCCATTTAGCTGGGCTGGCTTGACCCCATCCTTATGGTTTTAAATTTATAATTGGTTTTAATTGGGTTATTTTAAATTGACGGCCAAAAGTATTTAATGTTTTTTAAATTGTTTTTAAATTTTATATGTTGTGTTTTTACCGTGGCTGTTCACCGCCCTGAGTCCTGTTGGAGAAGGGTGGTATACAAATTAAATAAATAAATAAATAATTGATTTGTGTAAAATGATACAAGTTAATTTCCTTTTTTTTTGTTTTTTTTAAA